CATGTGCTAAAAACAGACACATGCAAACAAACACACCACTAATTGACGTGTGATTTCTGGAAAGCGCAAGAACCAGGGCCACCGTCTGCCCTGTACGCGTCCACATCGTTTGGCACGGTGACTTTTAGCTTCGCGTCCCGCCCACGTCCTACTACCACAGCACACGTCCAAATAGAGCACTCCACATCAACAAAACTGTGAATAAGGACGGAAAATCGGAGTGCTGGCAGGGCATTTTGATTCAGCAGCAGAATGGAGGAGAATCGTCTCTTAGCACACAAGATGAGCCAGTTATAAGCGACAGAGGACATGAGAGGACAACAAAGCACAACAGAGGACAGTAGAATTCAAAATCCAGTGAGTGTCCCTTTAGAAATACACATTCCAGAACACATTGATTCATTGCACAGAAGGTCACTGTGCTCCGTGGTGCACTCAGAGTGAACAAAGCAGATCATCGGAGCTGAATGTCCCTGCAGGATTCAGGGCGGAGACTGCGTGTGTGCACCTACAGAACAGGCATGTTGCTCAGTGGGACTTTTATAACGGGGCAATAAAGGCAGCAGAGAAACGGGGCTGAATGGGGAGAAGAAAGGACCAGGCAGTGGCAGGGATATCCGTAAGCCACACACACACACACACACACACACACACACACTCAGAATAGTGACAGTGCATCCTGCCCAGATCCTCCACACACAGCAGCGAGGGGGATCAACGCTCGTAATGAGGGCATCTGCAGAAGCTTGTCATGTGGCCAGAAACACACACACCTTCTGCTATGAATGGCCCTCACATCATCGCGACGAGGAATTAATTGGCACTCGCTTCGCAAGTCCCTCGAGGCATCACATTCAAACATTTTATGTTTTTGCCGGCAAATATGCAAAATCACAGTCAGTTAATTGCACGGATCAAGTGACCTGGAAGATTTCTAATCTAATCTCCATATTAATGCGGACCTTCGGGGCACAGTGGCTGCACACACATGAGTTATTGGCATTCTCTGCTCCAAGCGGCGGCAGAACGGGAGTCATCAACTAAGATCAAAGACTGAATAAAGATCCGGGACCTCGTGGATCTAAAACCACACGAACAGAATGAAAGTGACTGTCCTGGTTCATTAAAATGTAATAACCTCTGCATCAAATGAGATACCACATAGAACTACAGATGATTAAAAGCACAAATCGCCTAGCAGTTTAAGTCCACATTCCCACGTCAGCTTTCATGATCTCAAATGCCTGAACCTCGGAGAGACACGACCGCTGGGATCAAAAGGAGCCGCTGTCTGCCTCGAAAGCTCATTTGGCCCAAAACTTGGCACCTCTCCTTCTCCCATGGTCGGAGGCTGACCCCGTAACCACGGTTACTCCACTCTAATACCTATGCAAACGCTTCTCGCTCTGCCGGGAAGACCGGCTGCTGACCGGGGGCCGACCCCCCCCCTCACACGGGAACAGAGAGAGGCCTGTGTAAACACAAACATATTAGCAACAATAATGCAAAATAAACATCAGGATGCACTTGTGAGCGTTTAAACTTCCCCCCGAGCTGGAAAGAAGTCAGCTGTACTCCACGTCAGGCCGGATGCTTTCAGTAATTCGTCCACCCTGAAGTGTATAATAACGTTATTCTAACCTCAAACCGCTGGGACGTCTGTTTCTGGCAACCAGACAACTGTGACACCCAACCACTGTGGCTCACACATGAATCAAATGAGCAAAAACACACTGTTGTCCGCCCACAGCCATAAATTGTCTTCTTTCGGAGAAACTTCTTTCCAAAGGGATAGTGAACTTTAAATGTAGGGGCATATGTACATTTACTACATTTCATATACACATATTTACTAAGTGCTGCACCTCTGCAGAAACTTGTTGAAAAATGTTGAATGTTTAAAGCACCTTATTGTAAGTTCACGTAATGACGTGGTCAACAAAGAGTAATCCTCGTGATGTTTGTCGCCTGGTTTCTTTGGGGTAACAGAGCAGGATGCACAAGCTTAAAAGCTCAGGGATGGTGTATCGTCCCGTCCCACCGAGCGGGCCGCAGCCCTGTCTGACCGAACCCGAAGCAACGCCAATGCCAAACGAATGACAGATGAAGTCCAAACCCGAAGAGACTTGAAAAACTCTCCCTCTCGCGCTCACAAACACAACAAAGGAAAAACATTGGAGTCCAAGACTCACTCAATTGGCAGTGCAGAGGGAGTGAGGAGCCACATGTTTCTGATAAGTCCTCCAGCAGAACACAGTGAGGTCATGATGAAGTCATCTCTGTCCTCTGGACAGGTTCAAACTCACTGAGTCGTGTGGGTTTTAAACGCTTTTAAACGCTTTAAACGCTTCAGACTCACCAACACACACACACACACACACACACACACACACACACACATTGTTTTTTGGGGGGAGGGGGCACTGCGTTTGCAGGAGGTGCAACATGTCATGAAGGAGACCTAATCTTCCTCTACGCACCTGCCGGCTCTAAAAAGAGCACCAAAAACTTCAGCGGTCGGACATCTTCTCCGTCCTCCTCCATCTCAAAACCCTTCTATGTTGTCACGCGTTGCCATGGACACGCCTCATTAACAGTCCCTGCAGACGTCACCCACTCCACCTGAGCCTGCCACGGGATTACCTGATCATAAGATTAGCTGAGCTGTCTCGGGGTTATGATCCAAATATTTATTAGAACAGTAACAATAAACGAAGAGAGAGGAGCTCAGAACACAAGATAGTTTAACCACTGGTGGGAAACAAAATGGTATAAATATATAGAGAGGATGGACTAGATGGACTGATACGGATCCGATAGGCCTGTAATGTGCAGTTTGAATGAATCATCACTTTTGTAGATTTGATGCTCAGTGAGTTTTCACATTTAAACAAAACTGTGGTCTCAAGCTTCAGAAGTAACATTGCTCTTCTTTACTCAACCAAGAAACGTCACCATTTTCACCAAGCAACTGTAATATTCACAAGGCCTTATGGAACGGTGGAAAATAGAGTTTACATCAAAGAGGATGTGCGTGAAAGGAGGAAAAATAAATATGGAGCCTGTTTGCATTTCCACTCCATTCCGTCACTGGCTCTGGGTTAAATGTCTCACTCTCTGGAAGGTCCCTGGAGGACTGGGAGCGGGGGGCCCGCCTTACCCCAGCAGATCTGAGAAATAACGTATAACGTTTAAGATTTCAGGCCCAGATGGGGAACATTCCCAGCTTTTTACAGGGCTATTTGGAGCAAAACAAAAGGGGGGAAACAAATCAAGTGTGTCAGACTAAAGGCCTTTTGGAGACAATTACCATATTTGTCTGGGTCCTTTTTAAGTTCAGACGACCAGGCTTTGGTGCGAGAACGGATATCTTCTGAGAGTCATGACAGGTTTAGGAATATCCAGAAGTGCTCGCGGGCAACACTCGATCTCAAGGGGGAGCAGACTATGGATATAATAGTATAATAGAGGAAGAGGGGGTATGTTTGAAAAAAACGGCAACAAATGTATGAAGGCGGGACAACGGACATGAAAAGATGCATGCACATGGTGAACCCAGCTGGTGGACATTAAGGAGTTAATGTTTTGTTCAGGATAGAGCAGTCTCCACACCAGCCGGCCTCTTTTACCCCGCAAAAGGCTTTAATTCAGAGGGAAGTTATAATAAATCTGTCAACATCTGTGTGAAACCAGTCTCAGCTGACACAGACGACATAAACATGAAATCTGTGAAACCTACTAACCGTAACCCTACTAGAACTCCTTGTACGCGTGTACTAGTGGGTCATTAAAGAGGAACTGCCTGTACCTGAGGACCGCTTGGCCATTTAAACAAATACCTCTGCAACTATGAATTACAATGAAGATAAAGTATTTGAACCGAAATGGAGAGCGTCCTTTACGATGACTTACAGCAATATTTAGAACTATGACAAATGTTTACTAACAAACTGGCATCAATTTACCAACAAAACCCAAGACACTCAAGAAATGACCGGAGGAGAGTAACAATACACCTCCAGGATTGTCCTTTTTGTTTTCGAAAGACAAAAGACTACATACCATCACAATAAAACGAAGCTGTGGACAAATTGAAAAAAAGCGCTAAATATTAAATGATCTGATTTCGAAAGTTGGGAAACAATGGTTCATCTTCAATAATAGTTGCAATGTGATGAGTTCATCAAGTATGTTGTAAAATACGAATCCCTGTAACTTCAGTCAGATAAATGAATAAAAACAGACTTTCTTAACTGTAGTTGAGTGTAAGTATAACTTTGCACGAAACAAAAGAACGAGAAATGTGTAATTACTGCAGTACTTGATTGAATCTATCTATTTATTCACTTATTACACTTTATATATGCACATACTCTGCACTTTTTTGCTACTTTGCACTTCTGGTTGGATGTTAAACTGCATTTCGTTGCCTCAGTACTTGTAACCTGTGCAATGACAATAAAGTTGAATCCAATCTATTTGTACGTTTTGAACCTACAGTATATATATTGTGTTGGTGAGCTGTAGCAGTAGAATCAAGCACACACAGGGATATTTTCCGCACTCTGGACCAACTTTCAAGAGTCAAGAGGACTAAGAGCAACGAACCCCACCACTTATTTCAGCAAGCAAACCCCGAATCAGCAGCACTGTACCGTAACTGACCTTGACCTCTGACTTCCTGCCACAAAGGGAGCACTTTAAAACCTGGGCATGTTTGATAAGAGTTTGGTTTCCCCTATAAATAATAAACGTTAGAAAATGCAGATCGTCCAAATAAAAACCGCCGGACGTCAACCAAACTAAAGAAGGTGCTTTAAGTCAGTCCCCGAGTATCAAATAGAAGCGCTCACGTGGTACTTTTGATTTAATTGAAGGGGATCGATATCTACAGCGCCTTGCCGGACTGCACGTGCTACACGTGTTTTCCCTCGGACGAGCACACGCCTCGTGCACTTGGGTTTCATTTTCTTTCTACAGACAAAGCGAGTGTTGCATACCGCCGCGCACGTCGTAAACGTGCCACACGAAGTAACATATCCTGCGAATGAAGTCTTCCGCACGCCGGCAGACTCAGCCGGTCCCGCGCGCGTCCGGGTTGAGGAGGTGTGACGAGGGGTGATGACGCGGGGGCCGGGACTGAACCGGCTCACAATATGGCAGGAAGTGGAGGGTCATTCGCCCAAAGCGGCGTCGCTCTTTTTGGCGGGCACCGTTCGCTTGAGACTCGAGCACGTGATTCAGGCGAGGGATTGTTGAAATGTATTATTTATGTTTGTCCCAGTTGGGTCGGTGTACCTTTTGATAGTTTGTCTTAAAATAATAAAAACGAACTATAAAAGGGTGCACGATATATATATTTGTTTTGTTGGAATCTCTGTACTCGCTGTGTAGTTAGTATACAAGTTTAATCTTCATTTCTAACCCGTACAAGGAGAAGCGACCAGTCCTCGCTGCTTTTCACTGGCTACCTGTGAGCTTTAGAATTGATTTCAAGATTCTACTGTTGTTTTAAGGCTCTGAACAATCTCGCTCCTGCCTTCACCAGTGAGCTCCTGAGCCTGTGTGAGATCTTCAGCCAGGGCCTTATTAACACTCCCAAGCCCCCGATTATTATGGCACTGTTTGTTTCTGCGTGAACTGTGTTTCGAGCATCAAGCCATGTTGTGACATAAAGGGTAATTAAAGATTTTGTTTTGCATAGAATGACATTGCTACTCAGACATTAGTTGCCATCCGCTTTAATTACAGCTCACACAAAGATGCTCAGCTTCCTCCATCTAGTGGCCTTAAAGGTGCTGGTACAACCTGTAGCTCCAGGAGCAGCACTTACATTAATAACGATTCTGTTCAGCCGTAGCTTTGTTCCGTGTTCGGTAATAAAATACGTTTTATCATCACGGTCATGTCATTGTTCTTCTGTCTGAAGTAGAAAGGTGTGCGAGTGGTTTTGATTTGTGGAAAACCCTTGCTGAGCAAGTATTACTAGTGTCTTGTTAAACTCATGTACAAAAAAATTACATTCACTTTTATAAACTTTTTATACAGATACAGAATCTAATATCATGTAGTTTTTGACATCAGTCTGAAAAATCGTCACTCTTTTAAGATCCTCTATTTTTTATAAACGTATGTCTGTTTACACATTGGCAGCCTTTACATGTAGTAAATGAAAGAAGACTATAATTTAACAAGGCTAGGTGTGTAATCTAACCTGTGGTTACAAAGCAACCGCTTATTAAAGCAACCAATTAGATCCATTTCAAATATTTTTTAATAACCCGTCAACCAAACAGAAAGTCCAGTGACGCACAATGTGCGCCACTCCTCTAAAACTCAACAGCATCATACAAGACATCAATTGTAGCGAACGACTGGCCTGATGCCATCTGCTCTCCATCAAATTGAAACCAATTCTCAGTTTTTGTCAAGACCTCACCCCACCTGTTCTCCTGGAAAAACTAGCCACTGGTCAGACCGGACACTCCCATCTCTGCTGGCATGTTCGTCTCTGCTGGCATGTTCGTCTCTGCAGGCATGTGAGCAGTAAACATAGTTATATTTACCGCTCACATGAAGCTGAAGGTTGATATTTGCAGGAAACACTAATAATGTGGGTTCGCGTCTTGTGACAAACTGAATGGAGTTAACGGCCCGAATGGCCTGAAAAAAGTGGTGAAAAAAGTTTGTTGCTCTTCCTACTCTTGGACGTTGGTCAAATAGTGGAAAAGTAACTTACCTAACCTAACATAGACAGACAACAATTCCCCCTCACATAACAAAACAATTGCATTTGGCCACTAAGTTGCTCAAAAAAGAAGGATAGGTTGTTTTACAAAGCAGGGTGGAAGGCTGCTTTCCATTTAAATGTCCGACTACTTTTAGATTCATAGGTGTCGGCTGTATAACAAGGCCGCCTAGGTTGTGTTTTGTTTGGCAGCTTTTTAAAATACCTTAGAAGGGATGAAGACTTTTTTTTTTTTCAATCAACCTGGTTGATGCCGGTAAGTCTACATATTGTTTCCAATAAAAACATTTCTTTCCGCTTTTCCTTTTGTTTAATGCTTGCATTGTAAGAAGGCACATCAAAAACTCATTGTTTTGTACATTATTTTTGGGTAAAAAATCACATTTGCTATCTTGAAATCTCAGGTAATTGAGTAAATAAAAAACAAGTTATAAAACTATTCTTTTTCATGTTTTTATCATACAGCCATCTTTGCCAAACAGTGATTTTACTTATTATCTTATAGCTGTTACTAATGTCCTTGAGCTTAACTTATATCTGTTAATTAACAATTTTCTTTAAACCTAATCTCCTTAAATCGCTTCATAGAACTTGTAATTGGTAATGTATGAATGTTAAGATGCTGAAAGGCCTCTCCTTTGCATTAAAAAAACAGTCTACAATCACCAAAAATGTTTCGGGCCCTGTTTTTTTTTTGCCCGTCTTTTGCTTTCTTTGACGATTGTTGTTGTGCATGGGTGCATATGCAGGTGGGAAACCTGTGTGCACATGATAACGTCATAATTTCAGCTCTTTCTGCAATCAATGATCTAAACAAACAAGTCAAGGACCAGTCCCACTTCACAGGTCCTCCAATATGTGTGTATAGCTGCAAGACTTGCCCCAATTAGACCACAATGATGGGCCACAGGGAGGCTATTCTTGGAACAAGTTGCTATTTTCTCCCATCTATTTTTTCCCCGAAACCTTGTCACAAGCACAGCTGAGGCATGTCTGCGAGAAGAAAGAGGAAGAGGGTTGTAAAAGGGGAAAGAAAAAGCGGATCAACTACAAGAGCATCAAACTGTAAAGCTGGTTAATTCTGGTCCCCTTACTTGTCTTTATTGCCTCCAATATTCTTCCTCATCAAATTATATGTATTTGTTCATTATTATTATTTAATTTTGCCTATTTATTGATAGACAGATGCAGTTTTTTGACATTAGGGTCGTGGGAGGTTAGTTTATACCAGTCAGTGTCAGTTTATATTACAAACCTTAAAGTGTGGCCACAAACTTAGACCATTAGTTTACTTTTAACAAATGAGAAGGTTCATTTTTCCTAAATCCCTAATTATACTTTCTGAGAATAGGTCTCATTAAATGTCACAATGTACGTGAACTGATTGGCTCCAACCCAAACAGAAAAATCAACAAGACACCTCCACCCATCCATTCTGCTAAATATTTCTTCCTCCCTCCTCTATCCTACCCTCGCCCTGTCGGCCAATCATAGGAGGGCACAAACGAGACTGCAGCTGTGAAAAACAGAAGCACGACCGTGGCTGCACGCTTTTGTCAACCAGCTCAGCTCTGACCTGTTCTGGGGGAGCCTGCTTTGCTTCAATCCACACTCCATCGATGCAACTCAGCTGTTTTCTTTGTTTTTCTGTCAGTATTTTGCCTACCTTAATTGAGTTTTCCTAGGTCTTGTCTTTACTGTGTGTCTTTTAACACACCTGCAATCATGTGTCGCCTGATGGTTGTCCTGCTGCTGTTTTTGCTTGGTGAGTATTTGGTCGAACTTTGACCAAACTTTTAACTCCATGAATGATTCATGTCTTAAGCAGAATAATGTGTATGACAACTAGTAGACGTTTTGACTCTTATTCATTGGCCAAACAATTAGCTCTCTCTATCATGCTTAACTTGTTTTGAGACCAATTGTACTTAGTGTAATTTGTGATACCGGCTTAGTAGTATTAATAGTCTTTTGCATGTTGCACACCCCACAATCACACCATCTTAATGGTTAGATTAGAATCATGTGCTTATGCTGATCACTCTCTAACCATACATTTACACAATTTACACAATTTTTCAAGAGGAAATGGAACAAGTGTTCTTCCACAGAGTTACGGCTTCCACGTACAGCAAGACTGGTCTCACTGTGAAAGCCACATCTCTTCTTCTTTTAATTCAACTGCCATAAAGGCAGAAGGACACTCAAAGTGAGGCCACTATTAATACCCTCCAACAGAGAATAGTAACTAAAAGGTGCACAAATCTTAATTGAAATAGTATTTTATTTTACCATACTACAATAATGGCCGACAGCATGTGTTACCAAGCAAAATACTGTTTAAAACTTGCTCTTATATAATATGTCCCCTTACAGGTAGTTAATTGCAATTTCAACCTAATATTCTACAATACAACCATTGTCAGCGGTTTACACAAAGTTCAAAGTACCCCAATTTATTTATGATTATCAACAATATTTGAATTTCTTAACTTATTCAGTTTTTACCTTTAAATTATTTCAATGAATTCAAGTTTACACACTTTAAAACCAGGCTCCACCATCTTGTACTTATAATCGTAATATTTGAGCTTTTTCATATGTGTCATGTCTCTTTCGTAAGTACTGTTTTTAAGCTGATTCTCATTTCTGACACTCAGATTTTTTTGAATAACTACAAACGTTTAAATCTCTTGTGTGCTTGATAATACACCACTTAAACCGCTCCTTGAACTTTCTTCCGTATTCAAACTATTTCAAATATGTCAACTATATTTCATTTGCAAATCACCAACTATCAAGCCTGTTAATAAAAGTCAGCTATGAGTATCTCTAAAATCGGTTAACATTGGTAATTGGAGAGATGACTGGCTAGTAGCAGGTGTGGTTAGTGATGCTCCCAAAAAATGGATGTCAGAAATTGTTATATGCGTGACTGCAGCAAACTGTTTGGATCCAAAGCCGTTGCAGGACAACGTTTATGTTGTGTGGAGGAGCAGAAGGACTTTAATGTGTTCTCAGAACATTCAGGCCCGTCCTATCAAACCATTTGAATGTTATTTCAATTGTTTAAGAGTCACTCAAACACCCTTTTGAATGATTTGTTTTGACACAAGATTTAATCTCAAACGTGTACGGACCTAATTTTGTGACTTCACAATAGGAGCGGAAGCCGATCAAGGCCTGATAAACAGCTTGTGAAGTAGACTTATTGTGTCCATTAGTTAAACATTTGAGATTAACTTGGCAGTTTATAGATTCTCAATTTGTTGTGAAGAGAGCAGTAGAATGATTCGTTTGAATAACTTTTGAATACATTGGAAACAAAGTAGTGCTTTAAACAGAATAATTGGTCCTTGACTTATTCCTTAATTTAAATGCTTTAATTTTCTAAAGTTCACTGTATTGTACAAATATTTGACCATTTTAACATTGGTGATTGAACATTATTTTTTTGACGTGGGATATTCATTAACAACTGTAGGAAAAACTGATGCAATTATTACTTCCTCCTCTTTTTTTTCAGATTCAATTTCCTGCGTTCAGTTTATGGCAACTTTTAACATGGGAGGAGTCACAGGGCAGGTGCAAATTAACACCACCTCTAGGATGTTCTTTTTCAATGTGTCTGGAGTTGGAAGCTGCAGTAAACTTAACTTCTCCCTGAACCAGTTCCCAGTCATGTATGGCCACTTTGCTCAGCCCTGTTCTGAAGCAAATATCGGCCCCAGCGTCTTTGACTCCATGGCTGAGCCCACTTCAAGCTTCTCCTTTCCCATGTCACGCTTCCTCGAGAACAACTCCAACCTCGACGACTACTCGCTGACTCTGCAAACGTGTGCCGGCCCTAAAGTATGCACAGTTTTGAGTCGAGGTCAAACAGTCCAGACATATCAGGCCAGGTTCACTGGCCCCATTGCAGGGAATGTTTACATTCGCCTCAACGAAGGATCTTCTGAACCCAGGCTGCTTGCAGACCTATTTGCAATCGGTCAGGTCAATGCCGTCCAAAGAAACGTCACGGTCTCAGTCTCCAGAAGCACCGCTGCAAACTGTGAGCGTCTTCTTGGAAGCTTGAGTAACACTGCTGCTTTAGTCAATCTGGGTCCTGTAAACGTTGGAACACCTTTAATTCCTCTCAAAGACCATCTGGCCCTGACCAGCTTCAGCACCGGCAATCGCTTTCTTCTCCTCCCCATGGGGTCGAGTTACCAGTGTGCTCAGATCTATGCTGTGCCGGAGAAGCAGGTGACTGCTGTTGTGAATATGAGGGGGATCAAAGGAAACTTCCGCTTCAGTCAGGCTTCCCCGTTCGATGTGACATTTTTGACAGTGAACCTTACAAACTTGCAAAACTTAGTAGCTACCTACCACGTCCACGGTTTTCCTCTCCCCTACGTCAGGACTCCTTCTTCAAGCCGGTGTACAAATGATAATGTGGCCGGCCACTGGAATCCATTCAATCTCAACACAAGCAGTCCAACTTACCCACAGGGGCCAGGTTCAACCCACGACATGTATGAGATCGGTGACCTCAGTGCCAAGCACATGTCCCTCGCAAATAGAACCGAGGTGGGCATGATGTTCACAGACTACAACCTCCCTCTGTTTGGACCAAACAGCATTGTAGGTCGATCAGTCGTGATTCACCAAACGGGTGGTGCTAGGTATGTTTGTGCGAGTATTGGCTATCCTGGTGAAGTAACCGTAGCCCAGGCCACGTTTCAGAGCCCCGTGGTTGGGAGGATTTGGTTCACTCAGCTGAAGGACAACCTTGTGTCCGACGTATCCATCTTCATGGACCTGTCATATGGAAATCCCTCAATGGCGGCAACTGCAAACCACAACTGGCATGTTCACACCTACCCCATCAGTTCAGCGAGGGATGATGATGCGATGCGTTGCAGCACGACAGGAGGACACTGGAACCCCTTTAACATTAACACATCAGACAGCAGCTATGCCGCCCACTGCAGACCATCAAGTCCATCATCCTGTGAGGTGGGAGACCTTTCCAGCAAACTCGGCACCATCAACCTTGGCGCCACAGTGGGCTCTGTGCAAGCAAAATACTTCTTCACTGATGTCACGTCCTGGTTGTCTGATTTAGGCATAATTAATCGTTCTGTGGTCATCCATCAAGCAGAACGTGGAGGGCCAAGGATTGCCTGTGCCAACATCACACTGGTGCGGGTGCCCAAAGCTAGCTTAGGTACGTGGTTTGGAAACCCGAATCCTGGCGGACAGATACAATTCTCCCAGGCTCTCCTACAAGGGCCCACAACCATAACGGTATCACTGATCAACCTGAACTCCATGGCTCGCGGTTACCATGTTCACATACTCCCCATCACACCTGGCAGGGCCGATCCCTGCTCCAATGCAAACATTCTCGGCCACTATAACCCATTAGCCTTTGATATATCAAACAGTCCACCAGCTGGAGTGGGAACAGTAGACCAATATGAGATTGGGGACATCGCCGGGAAGTTTGCTACGCTGGATGGCCTCAACCAGTCTGACGCCGTTTACATGGACCCTGACATGCCATTAACAGGCCCCTACAGTATAGTGGGAAGGTCTCTGGTGGTTCACTACACAAACGGATCAAGGTGAGAACCTTTCTGCATTTTATGTGATTTGTACTTTCTGTATAGAAAGTAACATGGCGTGTGGGTGAGGGAGACATAAGGAAAATATTTCACATTCAGAATGGCCGCAGGTTCCTCTTTTGTGATTACTGGAACAACCACACTGTAGCTACTGACTTTTTCTCATTACTTCATGTGCATTCAACTGTAAGCACTTTATATTTTGACTGGTGACTGATGCCTTTGCAGCAAGAGCAGACACTTAAACTTTACTGTCCTAAGTAGCTATCTGGCCTGTGAACTACTGCACTTGGGCAGACAACAAAGGTGTAGGATATCATAGACTGTGTCATATCCTTCTCATGTTTTGTGATAAAGCACACATATAAACCTTTTTATGCATTGCAGAGGATCACCTTTACTGTATTTTTTTTCTGTGTTTCTGGACAGACTGCGCTGTGTGGACCTCTCAGCTGACAGGAATACAGATGGACAATGGGTCGTGGCCACTGCTGTTTTCAATAATACAGTGACTGGGACAGTGACACTGGTAAGAGCCACAGACCTTTCCAGTAGTTTCAGGTGTTAAGCTAATGAAGACTAGACCTGCTGGTTTAGGCAGAGACTAGGAGACTGCAACATTAAGTGGGGCGAGTTTACCAACAACACCTCCTGGGGAATTACCCTCCAGGATGTATCAGTTTCAAAAACCTGAAAGACCGTAACCCATGCAGGGGTGTGGCAGAAACATGTAAAAGAATCTGGTAAAACGGAAACAAGCAAAATGAACACTGATAACAAAACCGCAGCAGGTTAACCTCGCTCTATCTAGAGCAGGGGAACGGGATTATATAAAGAGTCTTAGTAGTCTGAGGGCTGCTTGTAGTCTTCTGTCTGAGTCATATGATGACTCAATTAAGCGCTTTATATAATCTACCACATAGGTTAATATGCTTCTGATTAAGACTCATAAAGTGATGTGTGAAGTTCCTCTCTAGGAAAGACTTTATCTCCTGCACCACAAAGATTTGAATTAGTTTCTGGGTGACTGCAATTATAGAAAACATTACAATATAATTAAGCCCCAGTTCACAATATAAAAACTACTATATTTTATTGATGAGAGTATAATCAAGGTTGTCATGAAAATGGTTGAAAGACATTGCTTGAGAGCTGGAAAAAAATATATACTTGTACTTTGCAAATGTCTCATGGCCAAGTAAAACATTCTATAATTGGGATTGCACAATTAGCCTTTGTCTGTAACGTTTGACATTGACTTATTAATATAAAGTTTCTTCAAATCATAAGATTGGAAATTATTCTTTAGAAGAATGACTTGTCAATTGAAATGACAACACAAAGCCCAGCGCGTCACCAGAATTTATTTCCACATGACCTCAGCAAATTAAAAGAACACACCCAAGGTTTTTTCTCTAACAGAACCAAGCTGCCACAAAAACATGACCGTACGTCTGCTGTGCTGGAGACTGTGAATTAATTAAGCCTGTGCTGGGAGCCATGGGAAGCAGGGGCGGGGTCACTAGTTTAGCTTTTGTTTCCTGGCTAGTTAAACCTACAGGCCTGCCTGAACTAGAAAGCTCCCCCAGGGAACAGCTGTCTCTGTCAGCCTCCCTCCAGAGGCCCCACACTAAGCGCTGCACCATGTTTCTGGTTAGGAGCTTGTGATTCTGTATCTCGGACGAGGCTGTAGAATCGAGGCTTGTCTGGGGATAAACTGGTTCACTCTCCATCAGATACATGTTTGCAGATTCACTGAGGGAGAGTACAAGACTAATGGGTTACAACGCAAAATCCACTCTAGGCAGCAACCTCTGTCAAGATTAGCCAAAGTAGAAGTGCCAAATGTCTCCCTTCTAATAGTCTTACAACCAGAAGACTTAGACCCTGCTGTCTAAGTCTGATACTGTCAGAAAATTACTCTACTTCTCACCGGATTTAGTATCCCAGTGAACATCAGATTAGATTTTTTTTTTTTTTTTTTTTTTTTCCCCCCCCAAGGAAATTTGTCTTTGTACAGTGTCAGCTGTTTAGAAAATGGACAATAACCTAGAGCAGTGATTCTCAACTGGTGGTACCTAGAGCATACATACAGTACATCCACAACTATCGCCTGTCACATTTCACGCTGTCCGTAAAAACACAACTCTGGGGTAATATATAAATTAAGGGTAAATAAAAATCTGAAATGATCTTGTGGGCCTATCTACTTCTGCAAGACAAGCACCCAGAACGTGTGAATGTTCAACCATAACTGCCTGTTATATATTAAACATGTTGATGGTTGTTTCTCGCAGCGGCAGCAGATGTTTCCTGATGGCAGTAGCGGTGATGTCACCGTGCATGCCGCCCTTCGGTCGACAAACGTAAGACTGTAGAAATCTACACTCCTATATTAATGGTTTGCCTTCTAGTGAATTCACTCTCCTTTAAATGCAACAGGATTGAGAGATTCTGTGCGTGTGTGTGTGTGCGCCTTTCTCTGTATTCATGACACATTGAAATAACATGGATAAACAACAAGTACTCCTATTATACCCCTGTTTCTACAGACAACCATGGCATCCATGTTCATCACAAACGTGCAGGCCGTCAACACCCGCCAGTGCACCGGTACGGGAGGAACGTTCAATCCTTTCAACATGACCTCAATGGTGAGACCGGCATGTATCTTCAAATCCTGCACTTCTGATTCTGTCGCTTCCCTTAAAAGGCTGAAACTTGTGTTGAAGCAGTTAAGTCAGTAGCATAAATCTAATCCGTGCTTGCTACTATAGCTGTTCGCTGACATTTAAATATACTCAAAGTACTTCACTTTTTGTAGAATTTTGCTTTATTGCGTTGCATACTCCTATAATCAACAGGATGTCTGAGTAAATGGATGATAGGTGAGCTATATCTCAATGCTTAATTAATCATGGAGAGAATGCACTGCAATGTATGAGGGAGGCCAATACACATACGTACATACAATAGGACAGAACTTTCAACCAGTGCAAAGAAGCAGTGCTAGTTATTTGTTCAACAAAAAAAAACCCTATTAATAGTAAAATAACATGCAGAATGTTGCTAAAATTGTGCTTTTGTTTTCTGCAACCTCATTCAGAGCTCCAGCTGTTCACTCTTGGACCCTCTGAGCTGTGTGGTGGGAGAGTTGTCCGGAAGACACGGCGCCATCAGCCTGACTCAGGGACAGGTCCTCACCGACAGCACCATGCAGCTCTTTGGCGACAACACGGGTACAATAACTTCAGTTATCTAGCGGTGGTAACAAATGGACCTCAATAAAACTTTGCTGTTTTACCAGCAGTATTTTACTTTTTTATATTTAGCAATACGCTCCCTTTAATACAGAAAGAAAACATAAAAACCCATGAAATGATTTACAAACATGACAAGTTAATATTCCACAAAAGAAGATATTATATGGACCTAATAGCAATGTCATCAAGTCCATGTTCCACGTGTTTTGTAGTGGTCAATAGAACTGTGCTTCTGATGGACGGGAACAACGTGCTCGCGTGTGCAGACATCGTCGCAGTATCTCCCTCAGCGCAGCAGACCTTCCCAGTGACTAGCTTCAGCAGGTGAGTGCAACAAACTCTTCCTGGTGCAGATGGTATGTATTCAGGCAGATTTCCAGCAAGAGGGTTTGTCATGCCGGGAAGACTTTCTAAAGAAAAGATTAACCGTAATAGGAACTTACCAGACCAGTTCGTCCTCATTTGTTAATTTTCGAATTCCTGAACTCTTACAAAAAACGAATAGTCTTATGCGATATCTTTGATCTTGAAACAACTCAAACTTAGCTTTGCATTTCTCACTTTAATATCTCGAAGTAAAACCACATTTACAACCATCATACAGAGGCTGATCAAATGCACATGTATGAATTTATTAATCGATGTATGTATCAAGCATGAACTGGTTCTGACCTGCTCATTTAATTGTCATGAGAAACAATTCACACCTGTCTTTAATCATCATTGACTAATTCCGTGTTTTCATAACTCCTATTAAAGTGTTCCTAATAATAAACAGATAAATCCCCTATATGGATTTCATCAATGCAAATACACTTTTTTTTCTTTTTCTTTTTCCTCCCAGATATGACTTCCGTATGAGGGTTGCACGTGTACTGGGTATGGAAACCGCGAGAATCACCATCCTGCCGCCTTCTCCCATACCTGCTGCTGGTGGAGTGTGCCAGAGAGTTGACTTCATGGTGTCTGGTAAGATGGAATCTCCTGTAAACATTTATTCATTGTAATGTACACCAGTGAGCTGCCCTGAGAGTGAATCTATTCTTACCTCTTCCTTATTTTGAACAGGATAAAAATGTCACCATTCAACAGACGCACACTCGAATCACGCATAGTTTGATGACACGCTCCTGGAACGTTTTGCTTTGTCTTTACGAGTCACTGAATATGAAACTTATCTGGTACGGCAAGAAAAATACAGATGTGCCAATAAAAAACATTTAAGTTTCATCATTTTAAGTGAATTGACAGAACAAAGCACATAATGCAGCATCATTCTTACATTATGGCCAAGATCTTTCTGCTCTACATTCGTTGACGATATCCGCTACTGCCGGCGTCTAGGGCCCATCTAGGCCACAGTCCATCAGGACAATGAACAAATACAGCCGTTGAAAGTTCTTTAGAAAACCGGGGGAAAATTGCACAGTAACCTGATCCTGGAGCGGAGTGTCTCGTTTTCTCTCCCTTCCTCGGCCCGTTCAGAGGTTTCACAGTATGGCACAGGACATTTATGCCCCACAAGTTGCAGTTTACTCTTGCAATAATAAGGCCGCCTTTTTAGTAATTAATTGGTGTGAAAGCAGGAAGATGCAAACCCACACGACATTTCAGACAACATGCAGCTGAGATGATTTGATGACTCTTTTGGTGCTTAACGGCACAGAAAACTAAAGGATTGGGTGAAAAGCAATATCAACTAAAGGAAGTTGGAAGATATTTTTCTTCTAAAATGCTCTGCAGCATTTCAGGTGTAACATTATCCCACCTGATGGTGGAATAAACGTACATAAACACCAAAGTGTAACAAATTAGCAATTGCAGCGTGGACAGAATGTGATTAAACAATGTTACATGGTCCGTGTCTTAAAGGGAGTGTCAGCGCAGAACTACTGCAGTCTGTGAAAAACAGCGAGATGATGGGCCCGTTCCGAGAGTCGGACACGTGTACAACACGTAAGTACTCTGCCCCCTCAAGTCCAAAGGCCATTACTCGGCTAAGTAATGAGGAAGACAACTAATAATAACCTTTCCATTGTGGTGCCCTCAGGTAACGCTGGTTTGAAGCTGATGCCAGGAACCTTTCTTCTGGGCTTGTTTGCTGTTGCCTGTCTGCTGCCAGCCACAGTTTCTTTGTAACTGAGCGATTGGGCCACACAGTGAATCATCATGGATCCTCCGATTGTAGAACTACCATTATGTTTATGAACTGTAGCCCACCAAATGCTATGATGGTCATCTGATTAATGATCAACCAATGTATTTAAATTTCTGCATGCAACTTAATAATTTTAAGCAGCAAGCTATCTTTAACTGTTAAATGTATTTTTAATATTCACGTTCATTGCTTTGCAACAGACACTGCTTATATTTTGATGATTTGGACTGTGAAACGGGTGGGTAAAACGTATGCGGTACATTTTTTGGGTATCCAAACTTTATTTCTGAATTTATGCACAATGAATGTATTTATGTCAAAATGTTACTGTTTAGAAAATTGTGAATAAAATATAATCGTATTTGCATGACTCATTTGCCTAAACATCTCATCACATGAATACAGTATACAGTGCTTGGCAATAATACACATTTGTTGGTACTACAACCTAAGAAAGTATCATTGAAATGGTTTGAGAGTTGTAACCCATTGTATTGGGTATGGTTCATATATAAGGCAATTGTTAACAACATATAATTTATAAGAACTGGACATGTAATCTTAAAGTATCAAGTTTTCCAGCTCTTTAGTTCCCACTTACACTGCTGCTACGGACTTCTGGAAAATCACAACTGGGCATCTACAACAAAACCTAACCTTTAAATAAGGACGACAAAGGACTTCATTGTCAACTGTTTTCTACAACTGGCCCATAACTGAATTATAGCGTTATTGTTTTAACCAATCCTTTACAACAGAAAATAAAATGACACCTTAAGACCTGGATTATAGTTGCGGGGATCCAGCTAGACTGCGTGGCTTTGTGCAGAGTAGATTAACATTTACAGGAAAGAAGGCGGGCCCGGATCCCTCCGCGTCCACTGGAAGAAACGGCAGCCACGTGACTACAGACGTCAGCAACATGGCGGCGCCCGGTTTCGTAATTTAACGCACGGTCCAGACTGGTAAAGCGGCTCTTCGTTTGTTAGCCCAAGAATCACGTTCACAAGACTAAAAACACCGGGTCTGTATTCAGCATTTCCATGGCTGCATGGGGAGGAAAGGGGGGAGGAAAAGGGGGTGTTTGGCGTGAGGTAGCGACGGTGTCTGGAGTTTACGTCATCGGTGGCACGGGGTACCGCGCGCCTGAGTCCCGTTTGAAAAGGGAAAACATGAAATTCGTTTACTCGGAGCCGTATAAACAGGCAGAGAGAGCTTGTGCTTGTATCGCAACCGGCGATGCCACCAGCACACCGGCGTTAAAACCAAGGGCGACTCGCTGAGTGAATTAACGTGTGTTGGCCTGTTCATAACGGGGATGCTTTGTGAATATAAAGTCTCCCATTAAACCAAGCCCCGTGGTTAAAACACCACAAACCGCTAATGTTGGGTAGCTATCGTAGCTACGGTAAGTACGTTTACAACGATATGGAATAATACTTGTAAACAACAATCGCATGCGGAGTGTTCAGCCAATGGGAGACCTCATCGGTGAAGCGTACTGCAACGTGATTGGTCAGCTCGTAGACGCACGTTTCATTTTGAGCCAACGTTAATCAGGGACCGTGGATGGTAAAACTCAATCCACCACTGTAAAAATGTGGGCTATCTTACCAACAGCCAAATGGTCTATTCTTTTAATATTTAACTTATGTGAGGGTTCACGGTGTTACAGCAGGTCCAGGTGTGGACTGTGACTTTGAGCTCCACGTTGATAGTCAGATAGTACACGTAGTCCTGCTACAGTCACCTGGAAATCAGCATGGCTTCCCAAAAGTCAGGTAAACTACCGATAACTAGGGAGGGCTTGGATAACAAAAGACAAGGCTATGCCCCCGTGTTTGTTGTTTAAAGGCCCGTTGTGTGATTTTTTTTTTAATAGTTTGAACAGATGCGTTTTGTTTTCAAAAATGTTTTGTAACAGATGTGTGTTTGTGTGTATTGTTCTTTCTCGGTTCAGACACTGCAATGTCTCCAAAGATCACAGGAGAGCTGCTCAGGCAGCTTCGCCAGGCGATGAAAAATTGCAAATTCTACTCGGAGCCCATACAGGCTTACATCGTCCCTTCCGGAGATGCACACCAGGTAAGTGAGATCGCACAGATGTCGTACGTTGCTGTGTTAATGACGCTGATCTCTCTCTCTGCCCCCATGACTTTCAGAGTGAATACGTTGCACCGTGTGACTGCAGGCGTGAGTTTATCTGTGGATTTAATGGGTCTGCAGGTACGTTTCGCTTGTGCGTGAATTGCAATGTAACGTGTCCTAGTTAGAAAAACTGGAGCAAAGATGCCATTTCCACTGTGGGTTTATCTATAGCAATGTGATTAGTTGCCTGTTATTCAACTTAGAACTAATAAGGTTGAACCACTCTAGATGCAGATGTTAAATAGTATTTGCACAGGACTACATGACACACAAGTTTATGATGTTAGCGTGGGTGTACTCTCAGGCAAGGTTATCCCTGTGGGATTTCAGCACCTTTTGTAAAAAATGGAATAGAAGAGCTCATTCATTCTCAAGCTGTTTGATAGCTGCTGTAATTTCAGAGGCTCATCTTTCTTTTTTCTTCTCAAAACTGCACAATTGACACATGGAACAGACAATAATTGTCTAGGAATAGTATGACTGAGTAGTGCATCAACATCCCAGAGTCAATTTTATTTTGCATACCTCTGTTGTACAAACCAGATCAAAAGAAGCATGTGTGAGTAAAACGGTCAAATCTTCTTTTTGTGTGTGATGTGTAGGTACAGCTATTGTTACAGAGCAGCACGCCGCGATGTGGACTGATGGCCGATATTTCCTCCAGGCCAGTCAGCAGATGGACAACAACTGGACTCTGATGAAGATGGGTAATATGGCCAGAAATACACAATGAATTAATAAATGCCCTCTTAGTAATGTAATCACATCCAAGCTTAGTTTGTTGTGGTCATTTCTGAGGACTTTATTATAAAGATTTGAAGCACAGATTCTGCAATGAAGCCACTCTTTATAAACAACGCAGGCACTATAAGGCGCACCGGATTATAAGGCGCATAAGATACTGCAGTCAAACGTTTGACGTCGGGGCGGGTGGATGGGGGGAGTGTGGGGAGGTGGAGGCGGTGCTTTCAGGGTCCGATCAATGTTGCGCTGTGCGTCCGCTCCCGCCGCCCCCCTCGCCATCCACGCCTTAAATCTTTGGCTGCTTTTAGAATAACTTATTTTCCCCGTTAAGATGGTTCAGCTACTGTAGAGAAAAGGGCACCGTCTCTCGCTCTTTAATCTCATGAAGTGCTCGGCGAGAACAACAGCTTTGTTTCTCCGACGCGCCCTGAAACAAGCTCCTTATCTCACGCGTTGAGCGCCGCTCAGCATCTCGCCGTCGTAGACGAGCTTTGGCCTGTTTGGCAGAGCGCCTTGAGCGCCGTGTACAACCAGTATGGATCAACCGATTAACCAATTGATCCATATATAAGGCGCTGCGGATTATAAGGCGCACTGTTGTTTTTTGAGAAAATTAAAGGCTTTTAAGTGCGCCTTGGAGTGCGGAAAATACGGTACCCTTCGAACTGTGATCAAAACACTGATAATGAGGCATAAATAAAAGCCAGACTGTAAGTCAGACTGTTGGATAATGAAAAACAAGGTAAGATTGTTCTATTTATGTCCACACTGGGTGTTTAAATAAAAAATAAATACTGGTATAACCCAGGCCCCTTTCTTTTTACATCTCTGTTTATTGATTCATAATTGTATCCAGGACTGAAGGAGACACCCTCTCCAGAGGACTGGCTGAGCAGCATCCTACCAGAGAACTCCATAGTGGGAGTCGATCCCTGGATCATCGCCGCTGGTAAGTTGCGGTACAACGCTCATCTCAGCGCAGTGTATCAACTACTACGCCAACAAAATCAGCTGTATGAACACTGTGCTCTTCCCTTAACCCATAAGCTCCAGTAAAGGATAACTTGACTGGGATGGAATGTTGTAGAGACGTAAGGTACAACGTGGTTCCAGTATTTCTGCCCAGTTTGATAACAGAGAACATAGAACACTACCTTCATTAGCTCTCAGACAGGTACTCTCGTGCGGCGACTTAACCTCTGCTAACACATCGTAACATAACCTCTCGTGTTTCAGATCAGTGGAAGAACATGTCTAGGGAGCTGACTAGTGCAGGCCACTCCCTGGTGGCGGTGCAGGATAACCTGATCGACGCGGTCTGGATGGACCGGCCGGAAAGACCCAGCACACAGCTCCGCACCTTGGGCCTAGAGTACACCGGTACGTGCAAAGCACCTTTAACCTCCATTATGGTGGCATTTTATCTTAAAAAAGGCTCTACAACAGACGTATTGCCCATGCTTTGGATTGTGTAAGAGTGTCACCTTTCTTATCTTCTCATTCCATCATCCAAAAAACAGATATGTAACTAGATACACAGATTTTGCTTACAACTCTCACTCACTGTCATCCTGCAGGTATTTCCTGGCAGGACAAGATCACAGCACTGCGAGGCAAGATGTCAAAGAGAAAATTCACCTGGTTCGTTGCCACGGCGTTGGATGAGATCGCATGTACGGATCTTTTTTTTTCTTTTTCTTTTGTCAATAACCTTTGCGTAGGAGGTACTTGAACAAAGTGGTGGAGAGGTCGGAATGAGTTGACATATTTGGTTTGACATAAACACCGTAAGAGATATTTCCGTAAAGTACATTCAGCCCAAAAGAGTGAGGCCTATTTGGGAGCCTTATTTTTGATGTACAGAGTTGTCTCATTAGGTTCCTGCAGTATTTTTGTTGTGTAAGCAACAGTACCCAACATCACTTCTGTTACATAAGTCTGTCATGATACACGATCACGATCCAAGGACCCAGGGATGCACCGGTGCCCCTCTAGCTGCCTCTCTGAGCACCTTGTTCACTGCGCCTAATGAGCTTGTGTTTCTGATTGTCTGCTCTGGTTTATTTAGAGTAGTGCAGATTTTGTTGTCGTCTGGTAGCATTCTGACAAGGAGGTTTCAATCGGCACTGAATTGAAGGGAATTGGCTCCACAAATGTGAAAGTCAAATATTAACTTCCATTTTAAACGCTGAATAAATTGCATTGTAATCCATACAGTATTTTTCACTGTATTTTGAGGTAGCTCATGTTTACTGACACCGACAATGGCCTTATGGGATGAATTTGACCAAATGTGAAAATGCAATGTTCTGTTTTGTTTACTCAGGGCTTTTTAACCTCCGTGGTGCGGACATCGAGTACAACCCTGTTTTCTTTGCATATGCGATTGTGGGTGTGAACACGATAAGGTAAACGTATTTAACAATGTTGATTCATATCTATTAATCACCTTAACGCTACTGCACAAATGGTGATGGTAACTTATGGGTCTGTTCTTCTTGAACTATGACACACGGAACTTTCCCTTTCTCCCCGCAGGCTTTTTGTGGACCTGAAGCGTCTGTCTGCTCCCGCAGTGAGAGAACACCTGCAGCTGGACTCCCCTAGCAAGCCTGAGCTGAGCATCCGTACGCTCCCCTACGAATCCGTCTACACGGAGCTCCAGGCTATCTGCGCCGCACTAAACCCCAAGGACAAAGTGTGGATCTGCGACAAGGCCAGTTGTGCTCTCACACAAGTCATCCCCAAGGTGAGAGAGCCCGATGAAGAGAGTTGGATTGTGTCTCGACTGCTGATGGGAGGACAGATCACCGAGAATTCTCAGATTACCTGATGTCAGGGTTATTATGACGTAAAGGATCCGCTTGTTGATCATTGTACCAGACATATACAGCTGGTTATGTTGGGTTCAAGAACCTTCAGGCTTTGTTGAGTTATAATAAAGTGGTTATAATACAAATACGATCAAAGGAATCCATCAGGTTGAAAACATTTTCCGTCATACGGGCGTAGTTGCCTCTCGGTTATTATAAGTTCAGAGGGACGTATTTGGCTCTGAGTTAGTTAAAAGCCGTTTTGTTCCTGCTTGGCGGCATCGCTCTGTCCACCTGCTACAAAAACAGATCTGCGCTTGTCTCCACATTCCTCATTCAGACATTCTTTTAAAAGCACACAAAATCCAAAGAAAACAAACACAACACGACATGAACACAATCCAGTTATAAACCGTTGATTTGCCGAAACATTTGTAAAGGCATTTTGAGGTCTGGCCTGATTCCCTCGGCTTCTGCAGGCCGCACAAGACTTTCAACACATTTTTATTTATTTGTTTAATTTATGTGACGGCAAGACAAGCTACTTTTTAAACTGTAAATGTTTGCTCTTGATATATTCCAGGCCAACGGGTCTCCGATTCCCTACACTTCACTCTGCCTCGCCAAGGCAGTGAAGAACGCAACTGAGATTCAAGGCATGAAAGTGGCCCATGTAAGAAACTGTCTACGTCATTTAAGTAAAGGAGTCTTAACTTTGTTATAAACTGTCCACGTTCACCTCACAGAAAATGTATTGCATCTTGTGCTCTTCTTCTCCACAGATCAAGGATGCCGTTGCTCTTTGTGAACTCTTTGCTTGGTTGGAAAAAGAGGTATTTTCATCGTACAATTTAAGATCCGCGCATTAGAAAATAACAGATGTAATTTTGCTTTCCTTGGTACTGCCATGATTTAAGTCTACCGATTCTCATCTACCGTGCCTGGTTTCCTGGTTTGATGTATTAGTCATACTTGAATGTTTCAGATCGTCAAACAGATAATAAAAAAAAAAAAAGATTAAAAAGAAACTAGGTAAATACACAATGCCTTTTTAATTTATTAAGGGATAAAAGCAAGGGGGGGCATTTAGTTTTTCACATAGGATGTATAGGATGTATTTTTATTACGTGGGCTATCTTTGTCTAACATTTTCCCAACGCTGCTCAGCTTGCACTTGAACTGTAATCTATGTTTTCTAAAAAGCTTTCTGCCTCCCTGCTCTTATCTTTTGCAGATTCCTAAAGGCGGTGTGACGGAGATCTCTGCTGCCGATAAGGCAGAAGACTTACGCAGGTGGGTTTTTTATATTGGACGTTTTGCAAACGTCACGAAACTGTCACTTTAGTCTGGAGCTACATCCCCCTCTGCTGGACAGTAAGTGCAGTAAAACGTCTTGAAATAAACATGACGTGTTCAATTGTGATTTTTCTTTTGTGCTGAAGAGAACCTAAAGCATTTGGATATTTTTTGATGTAGTCATTTGTAATCAAGATGTGTGTATAGTTGTGTGAGTACGTCCCGTCTTATGCGATTTGGTTGTTTTTCAGTCAACAGAAGGATTTTGTTGGCCTCAGTTTTCCCACAATTTCCAGCGTCGGTCCAAACGGAGCAATCATACATTACAGGTTTGTGGGCTTATGAAACTAGATTTGTGTAATTTATCTGCTGTTTCCTTTTACGAAAACTTTTATGTTGTAATAATAGGTTAATAAGCTTTCTTTTGTGATTTTCCTTTTAGACCTTTGCCTGAAACCAACAGAACCCTCTCCGTGAACGAAGTTTACCTGATCGACTCTGGAGCTCAATATGTGTAAGCAGATCATTAATATATACACTCTGCTATTTGGCTCGGTCTCCGTGCCTGTTAATAACAAGGGCACTGACTCCATGTATTGTGTCTTTGTCAGTGATGGAACTACAGACGTCACACGCACCATGCACTTTGGGACACCATCAGCTTATGAGAAGGTACATTTATTTATATGCTGTTTTCATTTTGAAGTGAAATCTAATCTCAAATTTAGTTTATTGACCAAAAGCTAAGTATGCTCACTCCCTTTCCTCTAGGAATGCTTTACCTATGTACTGAAGGGACACATAGCTGTCAGCGCTGCGGTTTTCCCCAACGGAACCAAAGGTGTTGTCCTCTGATCTGGCACCAGCGTTACTGTGCACACTGTTGCTTCAGGCTGTGATCTTCAGCTCTAATCCTGCGCTCCCTCTCCAGGCCACCTGTTGGACTCATTTGCCCGTGCGGCTCTGTGGGAGTCGGGGCTGGACTACCTTCACGGTACGGGCCACGGCGTGGGCTGCTTCCTCAACGTCCACGAGGGGCCGTGCGGCATCAGCTACAAGACATTTGACGACGAGCCTCTGGAGGCCGGCATGATCGTCAGTGATGGTATGGCAGGGAGCGTTTTCGATTTAGGGGCTGTATCGTGTCTCTTAATTCATACTGTCGAGTTTAGCTCTTCGTCATGCTGGGAACCTCCGCAGAGGTTAAAAGTTCCATCACACAAAACTCTTTTAGCTTTTAGCTATTTTAGCTTCTTCTGTGTTTGATTAGGTGGGAACTTTCACCTCAATTCTTTCTTTCTTCCAGAACCTGGGTACTATGAAGACGGATGTTTTGGCATTCGCATTGAAAATGTGGTCCTTGTTGTGCCATCCGAGACCAAAGTAGGTCCTTCAACTGAGAGCAATGTTCATATATTCCTGCATATCCATAAAGCGAGATGCATGGAAGGTTTTTATTTTTAATACACGTGCACTGGGAGCGGCAAGGCAGCAAATAGGGATGTGGTGTCGCGGGAAAAACAGGTTATGACACAAGAAATTAAGACTTGAATCAATGATGCGCTTGGCCTCGGCTTGTGTGTAGCACGCAGACGAAGACAACAATCTGGCGTGGAACTGGGTAGACACGGTATAGATACGGAGTGAAAACACAGGGAGAGTTACGAGGTAAAGATACGGGGTAGAGATACCTGTATGGAAGTAAATCTGTGTCATCGAATTTTGAAAGAAAAAGGTGATTAAATTTCTAGCACTGAATATTCATGCATTGAAATCATGTATCTGAATGTTTTTCAACGTTAAAATATTCAACTGCAAAAAATTCAACCGCAAAAAATTAAATGCAAAAAAATTCAAACTGCAACATCCGGGAGCCCAAGGAAGAGCAATAGATTCAAGATTCAAGATCGGGAGCGTGCGTCGCGCAAAAGGAGCGAGCGCCCCAATACAACTTCGGCTCGTCGACTATGATGACCGGATTTCAGCCATGTCCATTAATAATGGGGCTTCGTTGAGTGTTTTAACTTTAACTTCATGCCATCAGTGTAGTTTGTGTCTGTAAGATTCAGTAATTGACTGCTCATGCTGGGATGCTTCGACAAGCTGTTAGGAGTGATTGGCGGAGTTTTGAAACCAGGAATGCGCTTGTAGAGCGCATAGGAGCCGCTGCAGCGTAGTGGGGGGGCAGCGGCTTTAGCGGAGCGTGTGCAGACGCATAACCCTGACAGTACGTGCAGGTTATGCTGTTTACATGCACGATCATTGCATGTCCAACAGTGATGGGGTTTGATAAAGTCAAACTAGTATCACAACTTCTACTCAACTGTCTTTACTTTTAAGAACTTTTCAAAATTCAGTGACGGATCACAATCTCTGCTTTACAACTATAAGGTCCTATGGGACAATAAACCGTTGTCACACTATAATGTGTATATGTCTGATATGTTCGTGTTTTCGGTGGGTTTTTTATGATACTATATAATTTATGACATCGTACTGAGAGCTTGAAAAAACAACCACAACCGAACGTCATCTCGTTTAACTTCCGCTTATTTCACGTCCAATGTACAAATGTCAGCTGTCTGTTACTGAATCTTACAGGCACAAACCACACTGATGGCATATAATAGAGTTAAAACACACCGAAGCCCCATCACCGTTAGTTATGATATGGTCGTGCATGTAAACAGCATAACCTGCACGTACTGTCGGGGTTATGCTGGGGGTTTTACATTGAATTTTTTTGCATTGAATTTTTTGCGGTTGAATATTTTAATGTTGAAAAACATTCAGATACATGATTTCAATGCATAAATATTCAGTGCTAGAAATTCAATCACCTTTTTCTTTCAAAATCCGATGACACAGATTTACTTCCATATACCTGCACGTCAGCAAACGTAGACTAAATAAAACTCAGAGAGCGACTAACGAGAATGCCAATGAAACACTGGGGAAAATACGTTATTCTCATGCAGGTGTTCTCTATAATGTTTGATCATAGCGTGACTTTTAATGACGAGGTAAATCTGCATGTTTGTGTTTTTCTGTCTCTGTGCTCAGTACAACTACAGAAACCGAGGCAGTCTGACCTTCGAGCCGCTCACTCTGGTTCCCATCCAAGTCAAGATGATGAGCACAGAGCTGCTCACTCAGAAGGAGGTAAGGAATACCCAGTGGGATTATGTTTGATACATTAATAGTCGCTCACCCATTAAAAGATTGGTAAAGACATTAAATATTAGGGGTGGTAATTTTCCATTTCTCTCGATTCTCTCTAGAACAATTTGGTCTTGATTCAGAAAAGTTAATAATCGGAACTTTAAAAATGAAATTAGTTCGCTTGATGCAACATTCTGCTGCAGATCAGAAAACTCTCCTCTCTGGCCTGCTGATGCTCTGCTATACAGGCATGTGCACCAAACGCACATGTGCCTAGGGTTGCCACCTTTAGTACAGAAAAGTAAGGCACCGGGGGGGTGTGGGCGACGGGACGGGCGACGGGACAGGACAGCCGGCCAATCAAACCAACGATGGCAGCGAGTATTACCCAATCAGGGGCAGAATAGGACGAGTCTTCGCAGAATTTGAGTGGGATTATTTGCATGGAATGCTGCATTGACAACTCGGAAAATACAGGACAAACCCCATCCAGTATTGATTCAAAACGGGACGCTTTATTTTATTCTCAAGTACGGGACGGGAGTTATAAACTGGCAATGAGGCACCATTACTATGTTGCACTTTCATGGTCCACTGCCATGATTTAATTTAGCACTGTTATGTTATTTGTTTACCTTTGAATGCAATGTTGAAATGAATTGAATGAAAAAAAATATTTATTTTTAACATAGGCTACTATGTAAGCAAGCTGCATTGGTTATTGCATTGGTGATAGATGAGTCCGATTTGTGACAATTTAGAGAAGGTAATTCATCTGTTGATTTTCTTTAATTATCAAACAAAGTAGGAAGTGATTAGCAACCTGAGTAGCAAACTCCGATTTGAGACTGTAGCAAACTAAAATGTTTTAAAAATTGAGATGCATCGATAATCGTTTTAGCCATTTAGAATTGATAATTGGTTTAGAATCGTATCGTTGAGCTCTGAATCGGAATCAAATCGTGAGGTGCCAAGAGATTCCCACCCCTATTAAATATAACAAAACAAGCCAAACAATTTCAAATGCCAATCTGTGCACGTGACTTCCGTCAAATAACAGCAGCGGACACCTTAAAAACAGCCGTTCTTCTTCTGAGACTTTCCCACGGAAGCGTATGTACGATGCACAGACACCCGCCTAGTGGTGAGATCGCGACGCCTTCTGGTCATCTTTGACATTACACAATTAGATTACAGCAGAAAACTAGTCGGCCGAATGAAAACAATGGTTATAAAACAACTTACATCTATATTACATATGCACTACTTAACTACAAGCCAGGTTTCATGGCCCGTCTTTTCTGTCGTGCAGCGTGACTGGGTGAACGAGTACAACAGGAAATGCCGGGACGTGATTGGAGCAGAGATGCAGAGGCAGGGCAGGAAGGAGGCGCTGGATTGGCTGATCAGAGAGACCCAGCCAATCGTCTGAAGGACAGACTCCAGTGCAACCCGTTCCTCCGCCCAGGAGTTCAGTGCGATCAATTTCTCTACATCGATAATCGTGTTTTTCAGTGTCTCACGGTTGACTTCTTTTGTGAACCATATTGTATTCCCAGTTTTATTAAAAATCAATTTAACAATCAAGAAATAACTTAATGACTTTGTGTTGCTAATGAATCAGGAAGGACGAGCAAAATCCAAATGAGGAGGTCACTGAGGGACGAGAGATGAAGGAAAATGTAACACAGAATAATAAAGCGAAGGGAAAAAGAGGGGAAAGATAAGCAGGAGAAGATCAAAAATGTTACTCTAGACAAACCTACAATACCAAATCCCCACCAACCTAACGCTATGGAGGGCAATCTGAACCCCACATCTCCTTGTGGGCTACGACATCCCCTCGAGGATCCTGAACCTCCAGCAGCTCAGGAAAAGAGCAGTGAAGAAGCGGTAAAGAAGTAGAAGCAGGAGACGAGACCGACCCCCTCTGCTCCTAAAGTGCTTCCTGCTTCCACTCTCAGGAGCACTGTTAGGGCTTTTGAGATGACCGACGTTTCCTGGATGTAACTTTTGGTTCAAACAAGATAATCGGACAAAGCACCAAAACTCTTAATCTGGTCAGGGGTCGTGTGATTGCGGCATAGCTGACCCTATTCTCTCACACGCTCACCTACCTGTCCATATGCAGATGAGCCCAGTCACGGGCCACGTTTGCGCCAATCAGAAACTGGTCCGGATATCTCTCCCTCTCTCTCCATCTTTCACAATTTCTCTTGCGCTCTCTTCTCATTCTTTGTTTATGCCACCAGAAAATTCATATAATTAAAATGTGCAAATAAAGGAGGCTGTAGTTTATCAGCAAAGGGCAACCTGGAGTGACCTACTTTCATTCGGACCATCCAAATAAACTTTCTCCATGTCCAAATAATTATACTCTGGACACGCAGAGCAAACACACTGTGTGGCTGCCGAAGGGTTTGTCAAAGGTTACAAGAAAATAAGTTATCCAGAGTTTAAGCACGAGTTACACAGCGTTTAAAAAATGATTAGTTGTCTGTTTGCAAGTTCAATATGTTTGTTTGTTTTGTGATAAATATGCTGATTTATCAGGTCCACAACAATATTTAAAATGAACACAAAAGGTCCCTAACAATAAAAACATAAGTCTCCCTGTAGAAAATATTTTAAGCTGTTTTTTGTAATGTTGCCAAGAACTGTTCATTCTCAAAGTTATTTTGGGTTGTTAATCCTCAAAGCAGGGATAATCTCTCTCCAAACTCAACTGAGATAATCTCTCCAAGATCAACAGTTTCTCAATCGCTGCTGGGAAATGATAACAATGTTAATGTGGGTATAAGTTCATATGTGTGTGCAGGAACCCTCGGTCAGGTAAGGCGGAGGTGCAGGAGGAGGGTGGACGGAGGATAAAAGGCGAGTGACAGCCTTCATTCACTGCAGATCAGTCAGGAGGATGAGTAGGACGATGTGGTGGCTGGTGGCCTCTGTGGCCTCGACCCTCCTCACTTGCCTGGCTAATGGAGCTCCATTGTAAGTAGACCTGCTTCCCTTCACCCGCTGGCTGGAATTCATTCCCCCAAAAAAGCGCTAAAATAAGCAGTTGTTTTTCATATTTCTGATATTTACAGTATTATTGAATTCTAACGGGAGAGAGAACGTTATCTGCATTTAAATTCAATTTAAAAAGTGTTTATACAAATATATTTCAGACTCGTGTCTCACTTAATGAGAAGCTACGGTCCACTTTGTCCTTTGTGTCACAAGGTCATGTAAACTCTCAAATGAGGCCAGTCAGCTGACCCTGAATGTGGTTCAGAGTTGGCACAACAGTCTCTTCTGCCAGACAGAGCCAGAGTCTGTAGCCATGAATGTTTGTCCAGTGCTGCATCTTCATCTAAGTAATCAATAGGTTACTCATTGGGGGTGAAGTCACTGCAGTCGGGAGCCTCTTGGTGATTTTGGTGAATTTGAACTTTTACTCACAGCATTTGAGACAGAGGTTTTGGAATCAGGATAAATCTGAGGTTAGAAGATAGAAAATATTTCTGTTACACAAAACAATATTTATTTATTATGACTTTTTTCTTGTGAAATGAAGAAACACAAATCCTAAATCTCACAAAGATTCCCGCAATGAGGCTTTTCACAAGTCAGGGGTCGAACACGAGAAAGGTTGGGAACGACTCCTCTGGCAGATCCACTCTCGCAATGTTTGGACAAATAGGCAAACCTGTAATTGTGTTTAAATGGTGACAACAATCCATCATTATCTCCACCTGACGTAAGCCTGTGGGACATCATGTGTTCTGTCTCGTGTGCATGTGAGTTTCTACCAGTTTGTGCGTCCAGCAAATCTCACACACACTGGACCCATCAGCCTAATAAGGGTTGTGCTCATTTATAAATGTAAGTACAGCCATTTCTTTATCTAGTCCTCAATGGGAACATCTTCCATACCACACGTTAGATGTTACAATCCCATAAAGTCAGGATCTATACATGACTGAATAAGTCCCCTTCTGCTCTTATCTTTGACCCCATCGTGATTCTCAGGGAGCCTCGAAGGACCGTTCAGTGAGACTTTGTTTTGGAGGGAAGGGGAGACGCAACAGGCAGAGATCTGCGCTTTATTGTGTGTGTGACCACAGATTGTTATTGTCACTCTCTCTTCCTCTCACCGCTGCAGGAAGGTGATGTCAGCCCCCAACTTGTTGCGTGTAGGTACAGCAGAACAAATCTTTGTGGAGTGTCAAGACTGCACTGGAGGAGACATCAACGTCATCATCAGCGTGTTGAGCCATCCAACCAAAGAAGAAGAGCTGGCTAACACAGCTGTGACACTTAATGCTGGTAATCATTTCCAGCAGCTTGGACGAATAACGGTAATTTGAATATTCTGAGACGGTCACTGTGTTGGCAACATTTTCGTAGCCACAAATGTTTGATAAAGAAATCCAGAAGCGATCATGATTTAGACCCGCTCACCCTGCTTGTGATGCACTATTGGTGTCTCTTTATACTGATTTCAGATCCCTGCTGGAGACTTCAGTAGGGAGGCCAGCACGAAGCACTATGTGTACCTAAAAGCTGAGTTTCCTGACCGAGTGCTGGAGAAAGTGGTCATGCTGTCCTTCCAGTCCGGGTACATCTTCATACAGACTGATAAGACCCTCTACACCCCAAAAGACAAAAGTGAGTTTCAATCTACATCAATGCTACGACACACCGACTGGTGAGAATGTCTTTGAGTGCATTTATTTCAATATGAATGATTTTACCTTGAATTAGGTTCAAATCAGTCACATGACCCTAAATAGAAAGAGGCTCTGTGTCAGTTCTTTACAGGATGTTTGCTGTGACGCCTCGTATGGAGCCAGTGGAGACAGATGCTCAAAACCAACCTGAAGTTTCTATTTACATCGAAATTGTGGTATTTCTGATTTATCAACGAGCACATAATTAAATGTGATATCATAGAGTCAACTGTGACTGGCAGTACAAAACAATGCATGTTTCCCTCTAGTGGGGAATCGACATCTTTCACTTATCAGTCAAATAGCTGAAAAAAGGGTCAACATCATTCAGTCTATGGACAACACATGTTGACATAGATCAGGGGTTTTAGAGATGAGACGTACACAAACTTTGGCATGGATTTATTAACTGAATTTGTAACCTAATGCTGATGCCTTTTGAAAATGTTTAGACCCCCGAAGGTGTCATTGTACCACGTGATCCAGTCGGTTTAATATCCGGAATCCACTCTGGATTTTACCAACTTCCTGAAATTGCTAGGTTAGTGCTTTATCTTATTTAAATTACATTTTCCACATTTCATTTTTTCACATTATTTTGTTTAGTGATGTATTAACACTCAAGGTACACATTAGTAGCAAGTAAATTAATCTGAAAATATTAAAACATTATTAAATTACAACAATTTAGCATTATGGAAAGTAGCCTTGATTTTACATATTATTATTTATTAATACATTGTCTGTGTTGCATTCCTTACAACTCATTTTCATGTTGCTAGTTTAGTTTTTGGACTAAGTACTACGTACCTAAGTCAGTGTCAGTATGGAGACACTGAATATTGATACTTTTCATTTGAGCCAATTGAGGCGATCTGATGAATTCATGAATGATAGTTAAGCTCAGCTGGAGGAATTAGTTGCGTGAAAGTAATTCCATTTGCTTGTTTTACGAGCCTGGCTGTGATTCAAGTTGGTTGGTAAGTCATTTGTCCTGATTCGTTGCTGCACTTTCTCTCTATGAAGCTCATTCGGAAGATTACCACAGCTTGTCTAGCTGCGTTTTGCCCAACATGCATATCAAATGTTTTACATAATATAACCAAATGAGACAGCAGGCAAACAGCACGATGAACTACACCTGTTATGAATTAAGAAAGCTTAGCTAGCAGAGCAGCTGCCATCTTTGCTATGAAGTAGAAGAGTTTGACATTTTAGGAAATTGGTCATATGCTCTTTGACGGATGGTTAATTGGATAATAAGATTGTTACTACCGATGAACAACAGAGTGGTAATAATAATGTTTAAGATTCAGAATAATATATGTTAATGGTCAGAAATAAAATCATTGTTTATAAAATAAAAGCCCATAAAAACATTAAATACAAGGTACCCACCCTCAATGGTAAAGTCTCCTGAAAACTTCAGTGTTACCTCTGTGCAGTAATAAAAATGTTCTGATTTTGAATGTGTGTGTGTGTGCAGTCCTGGACTGTGGAAGGTGGTGACAAGGTTCCGCAGCAACCCACAGCAAAGCTATTCTGCAGAGTTTGAGGTCAAAGAATACGGTGAGTCCTTCATTACCTGCACGTGTATTTTAGACCGACATGAACCTGCTACATTAACACATTTTCTGACCTAATTAGACGCAAAATGTTTTCCATTTTGCAGTGCTGCCCAGCTTTGAGGTTAAACTGAAACCTACGAGTTCCTTCTTCTACGTAGACAGTGAACAATTCACCGTCAACATCGAGGCTAAGTATGTGAAGGTTATTTGTTTTCGTGGTGGAGAAACCAGGTTTGATTGGTAAATGAATTTACCAATCAGACCCCGACCCCGAGTCTGCTTTATGTTGGTCTGTTAGTGTTTTCTGTGTTGCGTCATTGTGGGCCTTAACACGTGCCTGTCTTGTGGCTTTAGGTATCTGTTTGATGAATGGGTGGATGGGACCGCCTACGTGGTATTTGGGGTCATTCAAGAGGATCAAAAGAAAAGCTTCCCAAGTTCTCTTCAGAGAGTGCCGGTGAGCCCCTTCCTACACTTTGCTGTATTTACTTTATGTTTTACAAGACTACAATATTCTGTTATTACTACGTCTGCAGTGATTTCAGCTGAGTTGCTACAATTCTATGAATGTACATTATTTATTTAGGATATTTCATAATTAAACCATGCTGCTCACTGGCTGTACTACTATACTGAAGATGCATCTCTAAATGGTGTCAAATTAGATCACGAGAGGTCATGGAGAGGTCACACTGAAGAGAGAGCATATCACAAACACTTTCCCAGAGATCCTTGACCTGGTGGGGACATCCCTGTTTGTGGCCGTCAGTGTGCTGACGGACAGCGGTAAGAAAGACTCTGTATTTGTTCCTTATCCGTCTTTGATCAAAGCGACTTCCAGCAAACTTCCACCATTTATAAGCGTCGGTTCCTCAAACAAGAACGAGAGGTGAATAGAAAATAAACTCTGTTCACACTGCAGTCAAACCAGCCCGGATAGCTACATTCATGCCACTGGGCCCCGCACTCACAGGTTCAACACTTTTGGGTAAAATAACTGGGTGGCTGGTCGTTTTTCTGGGCTGCATG